ATATCACATTCACCCATTCGCACACATACAAGGTGCTAATAATAGTTACACACACTCACATACTGGCAATGGCACAGCATTTGGCCAAAGACACTCCAACATTCAGAGGAAGGACAGTGGATGACTCGATCTACCTCCTGAGCCACAGTCGTCATTATTGAGGTCATAGTTAATGGTGGTGTTGCACTGGACTGCATTATATTAAACTGTGTTGGGAATATTCTTCCTGTTTCATGTTTGTAAATGGGTTTGGCAAAACATTAGAAACACCTCTCAATATAATGCAGTTCAATTCAACACAATTTGATATATAAATATATCTAATGATATAGTGTATATGTGTGTTTTGTACTCATTTTGCAAAGCGGTCTTCAAAGGCCTTAACAAACAACATTAAAACAGTGGCCGTACTTTATAGATAGGTAGCTTTAAATAAATAGAATAAATTGCATTTTTTAACTATTAGTGATAAATGAAAGCCATTATTAACAATAAATACATGTTACAGCATATGTAAAAGAATGCATAAAGCGGTACCGTTATTTCAGTGGCCTACACGAAAACAGGTAGGTTTAAATGCTGTTTTTCTAAATAAATGACAAGGTTACAGTCTCTGATGGATTCTGAAATTGTACCAGAGGAATCTTGAGGGAAAAGTGGCTGCTTGTTGCTTTTTGTTAAACCAGAACAGACAAGAGTGTATATCTTGCAATTGTGAAACCTTCAATGACATGTATAGGGTAACAAGTGGTGACAAGCTATTACATGAAATATTCAGCGAGGTCTTCCTGAAGGAGGCTGTAGTGTTGTTCATGTGTGACAACCTGCTCTTGGTTACGTATCTTATTTCAGCATTTTGAACAAGCTGCATTTCACCAAGGCTGTGATTTTTATAAGGGCACATAGCACAATAATCATCTCTAGAAGAGAGAGGCGCGTAGATGAGTATGTGCATTTGGCACATAAAGAATGGATTGTGTTAAACCCTAAATAAATGTGTAAAGTACACCTATATGATGTAGTGCTGCACAATGCAACAGCTCTGCAATAAATAAACCTTACTTAAAATGTTTGTTTGTTGAGATTAGTTGCTTGTGTCGCAACTCAGTTCTGTGGTACATTTGTAGCTATACTATAAGTATAAGTATAAGTATTACCCCAGTGCTACACCACTACAAATGTAAAAACTCAATTTGATAAAAAGTGTATTAAACTAGAATCGCATACCTAGAATCACATAACCTTGTACTGTCAGTTTATGCATGGAAATTTGTTAAATCCATACAATCCTGACATCCAACACCTCTCTGACAGCATTAGCAACAATTTGAAATGATTTAAGGATTCACAAAGGTGCTATTAATTGCACAACAGTTGATTTGTATTACACTGCATTGCACAGGGGTTTCTGTTCTGGTCATTTATTCTTCAGTCGATGAATTAGAAGAAGATAGACGTCTTTGTATTGTCTGACCAAAAGTATGAATGCCATTCATTGTGAGACGAAGACATTTTATGATATGCAAACTTTGGCTGCAGATATGCATGGCTTTGTATATTATCTATTGGAATGAAGAATATTCTGTCCTTTATTAGGCCATGGATAAAGCCCTGTGGCTCACCATAACAGACCATAACTAGATTTGTGCTGCTGTTGTGGAAACAAAATGAATTCAGTTTATAGGTCAAGGAGCTCAATAGTCAAGTTCATACCAACATAAGCTGGAAGCAGTGGGTCACTTAGCTCTTTATTGAGGCAGACAGAGCTCAATACATAATATATATCACATAGTGATAATCAGTGAGTTTGATGGTTAATAGTTCTGTGGAGAAGAAAAGAAAGTTCATTGTTCTGCTCTGTGTGTGTGTGTGTGTGTGCCTTTGTGTAGCCATTTTTCTATGATCTGTCCTTGCCCATCATTTTTATGCATAACCCTATTTCTGAGGATTTTTTTAGAGTGATGTAGGCCAAGGACAGTTATGTGGAGTGGCAACTGTGTGTCCATTTTTATAGCTGATTTCCCCAAAACTCTGGATGGGGATTAGATTGTATTTATAAACTAAGCGACTCATTTAAACGTCAATTAACCTACCACATTCCTAATAGTCAGTGTAATATATTGGTTGGTTTGATTGAAAAATGCATCTGTCAAAACACAAGTCTGAATATTAGGGAGGTCAGCGGTATGGCTCTCATTTTCTAGTGATTACTAAGAACCAAAACACAGATCACAGACAAAACAATCATAATATTTTTAAAGAATTAACAAAGGAGTTTTCAGTTGACCAAGACGTGAAGAAGAGCTCTATGAATAAATCATACAACTTTAGTTTGAAAAAGCCTATTTAAATGAATATTTTTCCAAGAATACTTTGCTGTATGAAAAATATTTTCAAAGCATAATGAGCATAATTGAAATTGAAATGATGCACTCTGGACTGGAGGGGTCACCAAATAGTACAAGACCAGATGATCTGCAGCTACCCAAACTGTGCCCTTTTGCCTACTGACTGTTGTATCACACACTCAAGCATCTCACCACCTCCATTTGCATCATCATAAGTATTCATCACCCTGAGAATTTGAATTTTTGCCATTTTCTTGACACCTCTGCTGCTCATGGCATTTTAACCAAATGATGCAGAGAAAAAATGGCATGCAAATGGGTTGTCTTATTTGTGTGTGTTCGTGTAGAGAGAGAGAGAGAGTGAAGGCGAGTGAATAAGATAATGATGACAAAGAGAGAGAAATATTGGGTAAATAATATGTAAATACTTTTGCGTGTGTTTGAAGATCTTTTCTGTGGTACCACAGTGACAACTTGTGGTGGTTTACAGAAACTACATGTTCTTCTTATTTTAGTGGCTTTAGTAGTACCTGCCAATATAGGACTCAGCATTTTTGAGTGCTGTAACCCTTTTTCTTTTGTAAATGGATAGCTTTTGACCCTGAAATTTGTTGTGTAGTCTTGACACTTTTGAAACTTTTCAAGCTCCATCCCTAAATCTCACAAAGCAGTGTTTTTCCCTGGGGGCATCTACAAGCAAGTACATAGGAAATGCTCTGCTTGTGCTGTGTTTCTGGGATAAATGTGTGTGTTTCTTAGCCAAAGTGCCTAATCAAATATAATAATCGTACATTAAGGGACAACAGAAGTATTTAGTGGGGTTAAAAAACTTAACGAGCTTGATTTCGAAGTACTATTTTACTCACACTCCCTAACACGAAGTCAAGTGTCAAAGTCAGGTGTTTGATGTTATATAGCTTATGATGGTCAGCAAATTACAAATTGCCTCAATTGTACAATCTGTACACCATGACACCCTCTTTAACTGTAGACGCATTTGGATAAAGAAAATAAACCCTTAAACAGGGGAAAAAGTGGAACAAGCCCGAGGAAGAGCAACAGAGGAGGGATCGCTCTTTCTTCCAGCATGGGGAGACATGTAATAGATGTCTTATATACAGAATAGACCAAAATAGCAAGATTTACAATATGGAAAATCAGGATGACAAAATTCTAGATAGCTTGTAAAAATATATAGGGATAATTATAATATAAGGCTGTTGTTCAGTTGGATTGAATTGAAAGATGAAGCATTATGCTTGATTATCAGTCAAACAGTGTGAGATGTACATCTTAACCCGATAACCCTACGTTAACATACAGCCTGGGCTAGTGCAAATGTAGCTTCATGTAGTGCAATTCAAATGGGGGTGCATGAAGATGTCATGGAGTTTGCACCCAAATATCCCAACCCAGAAGTAAAAGCTCTTTAATTTCCACCCGTGTTCACTTGCTGCACATCACTCAGTAATTGGTCACAAATGTTCGATATATTTGTCGGTTTTACCACAATATAATTATAGAGAGGAAGTCATTTCATGCTCTGGTCTATGTGCGTCACCAGAAAACATAATGGAGTTGAGCTTTTATTAAAAAAACAGGAGGATGTGGGTATAAGAGAGGAGGAGGGAAGTGATGAAAGGAATATATTGGTGATGAGTGGCGTTTCAACATGTGCTGCTAAAGAGTTGTGTGTGTGTGTGTGTGTGTGTGTATAGGGGTTCTTTAGACAGTAATCAAGGTAATTAGCCGTAATTACAGTAGCCATAAATAGGAGTGAAGGCTTTCAGCCATGAGAGATGTGCTGAAAATGTTTCACTAAAAAAAGACTGTAGCCTCTGTAGGCACCAGAGGGCGCTCTAGGCATAATTTTAAAATGTAGAAAACAGAAAGTCAAACTGTTTCAAAATTTTCAGCCAGCAGATTTAATGTTTATTACTTCACTACTGTTACATTTACATTTACATCTTACTAGGACTAAAGGTATCAAGGGAGCTTAACTTTTCTCACAAATGGAAAACTTTCTGTCCAGAAGGCAGTAATTTAACATTCAATAAACTCATATACTTCTTTTTTAACCATCAACATGTGTCTCCTATTTGTTAGATGCCTTTTTTGTGTCCAATTATAGTAAATTAGAAGTGTTTATAAATTGTATTAATATGGTTTTGAAAGCCCCCTCTTTTGAGTGCTGTTATGCAATTTTTCAGTTTTTGACGTGTTGATTCCTCTTCTACAGATCCGTGGTTTTCTTTCGAGGTTCGACAACGTCCTGCCTGCCAGCCTGGCCTTTGACAAATGCACTGCCTGCTCACCCATTGTAAGTAGCATATATATTGTTACTGAATAGTCCAAAATAGGTCATTTTAAATCTATTAACAGCATTTACTAACAAGACAGTGTTATACAGTAAACTCTAATTTGCTAGAAAGATTAAAACATAGCAGCAGATAGGCAGGTTAGATTAGATTCTGTTACTATGTAGCAACATTGTTTTCAAACACAAATTGCAGCCTTAGCAGAAATAGAGGGGATTCCCATCCCTCCCATTTCTACATTGTTAACTCAGTGGAGCTGTGTTGAAATGTTCCTTGAGGAATACTGAAGACACACACACACACACACACACACACACACACACACACAGAAAAGCTGGTAAAACCATATGGTAATAATCAGGCAGCAGTTGCTCATCGATGTCAGTGTCTGTCGTATGAGTGGAATTAGCTCCCACCACTGCAGTGTGTGTGTGCATGTGAAGATGGGTTGTTGAAGGGTCTGCATATTCCAAATCAGCCAAGTGGGGTGGGAGAAGTTGCCCCTGTGTGTTTTTACCGCATTGTAATTGGTCCATAGCCAGCTGGCCAATCATTGCTGCAGATGGCCCTGTGGTTAGCAGCGTCCAGCGATATGATTGGTTACATTAGTGTAAGGCCAGGAGGGGTGTGTGTGGGGGGGCACATCTTGGAGAGGGAGAAAGTTTAAAAAGGGAGAAAAGGCAAGATGGGGGGGGTAAAGAGAGGAAGTGCAGGGCTGAAGAAAGGGTGTTGTGATGAGTGTAGGGCTGGTTCACTCTCTCGCTCTCCCCTGATCTCAATGCAGTCTTTGTGTCTATAAAGAGGTCATAAAGCCCCAGATCTATCACTTTCATGTGAAGACGGAGCGAGGGAGACACAGGGAGGGAGAAACCAATGGGCTGAGTGGGGGAGGGAGTGGCTAGCTTGTAGTCTAAAAGTTTAAACTTTCTCCACCTACGCTGCTTCTGAAAAAAAAGTAAGAAGCTCCACCACATCTTAAGGTGTCATGTTTCTGCCTGTGTGACTGATGAGATTATTCGGTCTGCACGGAGGGTTCATTAGTTTTGATAGGGGTTGGGTAAAGCCTGTGTAGTCGGGAACAATGAACAACATGGGTTAAGAAAGACGATCCTTTGCTGAGGCAGGAATAAAGGTTATGTGGTGAAATTGTTGAATATGTTTTGGTTCTGTTAATCCCACCCACACACACATTTTCCCTCTCTGTTTTGCATTTGCTTATCTGCCTTTCACTCCTTTTCTTTTACCAGCCTACTCCTATTTCACCCTCTCCTCTGTCCTCTACCTTCTCTCTCTTCCTGTTCTCCCTCCCCCATATCTCTCGTCCCTTTGTGTGTCCCTCTGTCCATCTATCAGTCCGTTCACTGTAATGTGTGTGTGTGTGTGTGTGTTTGTGTGTGTGTGTGTGTGTGTCTGTCTTTGTCTTCTGTGAGTGTGTATGTGAGTGAGTGCATGTCTGTCTGTGTGTATTCCTGCCGCAGTCAGCTGTGTGCTGCCAGGTCACTATGGAAACAAAACAATTCAGCCCCTGTCTGGGCTGGAGCAGTTCCTGTAGAGTTGGGCCTTTTCACTCTGTGTGTGTGTGTGTGTGTGTGTGTGTGTGCGCGTATGCATTTCCTAACTCTTTCTGGGGCTGTAAGCCAATAAAACTACACGCCAGAGAGTAAATCAAAGCTGACGTGGCTTTGTCTTAAACTGTGCCAGACACCTCTTACTACAACTACTTGTACTAACACACTAACACTACCAAATATGCTACCACTATTAATAGCAAAAACATTTTTTACATTTGTAGTGAAAAGTCTTGACACTGAAATACACTGAACTGGGCACTCAGTGTTTCTCTTTAAAGGGTTTCCTTCCTTCTGAATCTCTGGAGCTGTTTTAAACTTAAAATAAATTGTCCTTGTGTCACAGATTGGAAAGATTAAAACCTGATTTTAGCGTGCAGGTACCTTTCTGTTGTGTTTTGTTGAATTTTGTATCCGGCACCTATCTCATTAAGGTTTTATAGATGTGAAAATTCTTGCTAAAGATTCAAATCTATCGATTATGTTACAGTGTTTAAATTTAAGCTGAGAATTTGATGCTTTTCTCTATTTTAAATTCAATGTTTGGGTTTTAGATTGTTAAACAAAACAAGCAATTAAAAGAGCTCACCTTGGGCTTCTGACCTTTTTATACACTAAATAATTTAAAACATAATTGATTTTATATCCCAATTGATAATATAAATAATCCCTAGTTGCAACCATAATGTATATCACAGTTATATTCATTTTCAGGTGAAGCCATTGCCAAGTTACAATGAGTTAGGAATGTTTTTCTTTCAGGAATCACACAATATTTCAAAAACACAGATTATTCTGTACTGTATGGTACTTGATAGCTTTAAGACAGCTTTAATAGTAACCTGTAATGCTGTTTACATTCATACCAGTGTAATTTATACAAATGTTAATATTAAATGTAGAATAAATAACCCATAACATTTTATTTCCTATGTGCTGTTTTTACGTGTACTGTAGACATGTAGGTGTATTACAGAAACCACATAGCGTTAACTACACACACTTTACGAGCTTTGCTTCCTGTTAAGTGTGCTGATGGTCCGGAATACCATAAGGCCTGAGTGGTTACTTAATGAGTCAGTATGGAGTTTGTGCATTTTTAAGGTATTTGTCTAACCTGGCTGGTTGACCGTACATGTTAACAGGGGAAGTCAAAGCAACTGAGTCACCAGGAACTGTTTACTCATAACACTGCTTGGTGTGCAGTCAGTGTCACATCATGGCAAAACCACTAACCAAGGACAGTAGTTGTGCATCTGTCAAAAAACATTCACCATTCTATTAAACCACTGTTGTATTCTGAAATCTTCCCTTGCTCTGCTTCTTAAATAAAAATGGGATGTATTTAAATCTATGTGACTGTCAGTGCAAAACGTCTTCTATATATTCTTTGAAAAACAGTCAACTATGTTCTTAAACCCCCTATGAGCCACCAGGACCACCCATTGTATGTTTGATATGTTTAAGGACGCACACACCCGCACACACAGATTAAAGTTGAAACTTTCAGTTAGTATACACATTATGGTTCCACAAACAACTTAAAAAGAAGAAGACATCAGCACTGTCAAATAAAGCAAGAGGGTGGAGATTGATGTAGCTCCATAAGGAATGAAAGAAAAGAAAGAAAGAAAATTTTCTTTATCAGGTGGTATGAACTATACAAGAAAGTAAAAGTGCTGTCACACTGCATTGTTTTACATCTTTATTAAAGAATCTCAAAATGCATGTAGTATTTGATGTAGTTGCTAACTTTTTGTCATAATAAAAAAATGTAGAGTCTGAAGCTTTCTAAACTAAAACTGTCCATGTGTCATGGTTGACGTTATCACATGATCCTCACAGTTATCATGTAGCTTTCTGTGTCGTGAGCAGCTATATTTCAGCAAAGTGGGTTTTGGCCGTTGGCGTCTCATGTAACGGATCCCATGGATGGAAGTGGAGAATCAAAGAAATAAAAGAGAAGGAAGGAAAGAAAAGAGAAATTGAAAAGATGAACGAGGGACAAGTCAGTGTGTATTGTGTGCGGTGTGTCTGGCACCAAGACTAGACGCCAGGTCAGTCTGCGAACACACACACACACACACATGTAGACATTGGTTCACACAGTGTGTTGATGTCTGAGGCAGAGGTAACTCTACACCTGAAGAGGAGGGTCTGTGGGCGTCCATGAAAGGCTTGGCCAAGCCTAGGAAGGTAGTCAAGAAGGCAGAGGATATGTGTGTGTGGGTGGTGTGTGTGCTGTCTGTGTTTTGAAAAGAAGGTGAACATACTTGAAGTCAGTACTGTTACAAGATGACGGTAAACATTTCAGCGTGGTGGTGTTACACAGGTTGTGCCTATGGAGCAGAGTAACACAGGTTTTTTTCCAAACCATTAAAAGATCATTATTGTCCTCTTTTGAGAGAATATTGCCTTTTGCCATCTCAGTGTTTTTAGTCCTGATGCATTAGCATGACTCAGCCTTCCACTTGTGTACGTCAGATTCAAAACTGACTGAAAGCATGTAATGTTTGGTGAAGAAAAACACTTTTAGAAATGTTTTGGACAAGGTGTAATATTAAAGTAAAGTGCTCCTCTTCACATTTATGTTGGGGAAGCTTTCTTACCCTTTGCAGTTTCAACTCCTGAGCACCTGACCAAATTTCTTTCCACCACAGGCTTTGGCTATTTACTCTTTCAGGTTAAGGAATCTTCAAGCACCTTTAAATCTATAACTCTGTGTAGAACAAATGTATAGCATTTATAGGCAGGCACCTCAGTAACAAACACAAAGGACCTCCATAAATACATGCAGTTGCTTATTTTTATTCTATTCTTTATTCTTTTCTGTTTTTGTCTTGTCAGTTACTCTTTATGGTCAAGGCCATTACAAAAGTGGTGGTTATGTGGGTCGACTGTTGTTGTTTACACATTGATTTCAATGAAAAATAGTATTAGACATAAGAAAAACATAGGCTTTACAATATGATACTCAACATGCACCTTGGACCAGTACAGTGATATAAATTGTGTGTAAAGTGTTTCAGTTATATAGACATTACATTTCCTGTTAAATCACCTGGAGATGTCTTTTGTTTATGTTCTGTTTTTTTTTTTTTTTTTGTCCAGGTCCTGGACAATTATGAGAGAGAGGGTTTCAACTTCCTGTCCAAGGTTTTTAATTCTTCCCACTCATTTCTGGAGGACCTGACAGGGCTGACGCTGTTGCATCAGGAGACACAGGCTGCAGAGGTAATTCACTCAAATTCACCTGCAAAAACCAGCACAGACACACACACACATACACAACCTGATGTGCTAAGGGAAACAGGCCTGGTGTCAACATGTAAATGGATAAAAACACAGTGTCACCCTCTTTTTTTTATGAGAGAGCTGAGTTCATGGAGGCCCTGGAGAAAGACTCACAGAGGCTAATCTTAACTATCAGACCATCTGAGCTGCATTCAGCAAGGGAGGAGAGCTGCTGACTTAGACAGGGGATATTGTTGGCTGGTAGAAGAAACACTTTAACCAACTTCTAAACCTTAATGACATGCACTTTGTGAAGGAGACAGAGGACTCGGGGGAAACCTTGTCCATCTTTCTGGCAGAGGTCACTAATAAACATAGAAAGCACAGCGGGGGCAAGTGGTTGAAATTTGCGATTGAGATGCTGGAGGCTCTGGATATTTTTTAATGTTATAGGTTATCAGTTCCCATTTTTAAAAAACGGAGCAGAGCATGTGCTCCAGTTATTGGAGTATCACACTGCTGCCTTCCTGGGAAATCTTTTAGCTGAAAATGAGGTTGTGGCTGATTGTGGAGCCGCAGATTCAGTCCTGGTTGTGGAACAATAGACCAGCTCTTCACTCCTGGAAAGATCCTGAATAGCTCACCAAAGTGTTTCTCCAGTTCTTTTTGTGATGGTTAGAATGTTTAGGAAGAGCTGAGGGATAGAGAGTGTCCACTTTGGTCATCTCAGGATTGCAATTCTGCTTTCTGCAGATGATGTAGGATGAAACCAAGTAGGCAAGTAACCTCCAAGTCTCAGACAATCATATTCAAAAATGGTGGAAATCATTTACCCACTTGAAGGGCTGTTGCTACCCCAGGTGATTTATCTTGGTTGTGTCCATTGGTGAGGGAATGAACAGTACGACAAGACAAATTGGTGCGGCACTGGGCATGTGAAAGACATATGTAGTGAAGAGGGAACTGAGCTTTAATATAAAACTTTTAGTTTGGCTGCCAATTCATGTGCCTATGGCCAAGACTTCAGGGTGGTAATAGAAAGAATCTGAGCAGAGTGAAGAGCTCTGACATCCAGAAGGAGCTGCTCCTTCACATTTAAATGCACCTATTACGGGTAGTTCTGGCCTCCTCGGGTAAGTTAGAGTGGTATCTGCGAATGCCTCAGGAGAAGTTGGGCATCCTGGCTAGGGAGAAAGGTTTCTGGGCATTCTTGCTTAGCCTGATGCAACCATGACCTGGACCTGAATAAGGAGTAGAAAATGGATGGCTGAGTAAGTTTTATGACCCTGGGAAATCCATACAAAATTCTTTATGTAGTTTCAAAACAACTTTCTGGAAACTAAGGCCTTTGTAAGAATTTAATTAGTAGGATTTCTCAAATTAAATGTTTAATAGCAGATATACTGTTTTACTTCAAAGGCAGAGATATTTTCCTTCTAATTATTCTGTCGCCATAGCAGCACACTGTAGATTTCTGTGGAACAACGAGCAGCATAAAGTTCCAACAAACATCCAGAATACTTGGTGGTGGTGGAATATGGGTGGTTTTCCTCAAGACTCCCCTCTGACATGAGACAGAGGGAGGGAGAGACAGAAAATGAGTGGGTGTGGGGTTGGGTCTGGTCCTGCCAAGCTGTGGGAAAATCCCACGTATTTTCTCCCCAACTCCTACACATAACACACAGATGGAGGAGGGGAGAAGAGAAAAGCAAGGGAGCAAGCGGGATATGAGGGAAAAGGGAGTGTAGATAAGAGAAACAGTGGAGGGAGAAAGGACAAGGAGAAGACAGACTGGAGAAAGAAGAGAAAGAAAGTTGTAAAAGGGAAGGAAAGCTGAAGCTAGAGAGGAAGAAAATAATTGAGGTTTTTTCCGTATTTCCCCATCGTCTTTCTTACTCTCTATCCCCCTGTCTTAAGCCTCCTTCCTTTCTCTCACTCTTTATCCCTTCCATCTCCTGCTATCAACCTTTACCTCATTCCCTATCGTTTCTTCTATCTCTTGCGATTGTTCCTTCCCTCTCGATTCTCCCCCCTCTCCCCGGTGAAGTGTGTTGAAGAGTCTGGCGTAGGTCCCTTTCTCTTCAATCAGAAGATGGAGAGATTGTTTTGATTGCTCAGCCCACTAGCGCCAGAAGTCTTAGCGCCTGTTTCCTGTATACAGATTAGCTATTCTGAAACTACTGCACTTGGAGGACGTCCCTTTAAGGGTTTTTTTTTTTCCCCAATTCCAGGAAGGGACAGAGGTTCTTCTCCCGCTCGTGAAAGCATATTATTACTTATTTCATGCGGGAACCCACTAGAAACAGGCCTGTGGCTCCGTTCGGGTCCATATTCCATATTTTAAGAAGTACTTGTCCGAAATTAGGGGTTTTAAGGGTCCTTAAAAGGTCTCTCCTGAGTCATCACTGGATGATGATTATCATTGGATGGTGATTATCACTTCCAGTAGCTTTTTTTAATGACCTAACTCTCTTGTAGAAGGTTTAAGTTTACCTAAATCGTGTAAAGAGAGCCCTTCATCATCACTAACAATGTTTGCATTTTTCTTGTGTCCCTTTGTTTACAAGTCAGACGTACTGTAGGTCTCTGATTTTTAAACTGTGTGTCAGTCCAGTGACTGATTAGGAACATAATAGAATTGGTCATATATTACAAAATGTTTGGGCATGGATTACAGTGGGCTTAAATAACTTATTATTTTTATTTTTACATTGTTATCTTTCCCTAAAGCATGGTACTGTACTGAATTCATTACAGGCTGTGTGTATCTGTGTGTGTTTTCGTGCGTTCAAGTGTATGTAACCATTCTAAACTATAATCTACGTCACCAGATAGCAGTACTATGTACTTATGGCCTATTTTAGGCGAGTTTGTAACCTGAGAACTACTTTTTATGCGGTCACCACAGGGTTTTGGGGGAGTTCAAGTTCGGTAAAAGTTTAGACTGACTGAAAGCTATGTGTGTGCGTGTCTTTGTGCGTGTGTGAGCATGCACAAATCAGTGTGAATGGCTTCTTTGTGAGATCAGTCCTATTGGGATTTCATACTCTGGTAGGAACATGTGTGGAAAATGTACTATAAATCTGACGTCTGGCAAATTAGTTACATGTTTTTGAAAGTTTGTTGAACATTTGTTTTAGTATGCAACACACTGTATCTATCCAGCCTCATGAGAGAAAATCAAACATTACAAACCATTTTTAAATATTTATAACATGATTTGTTCTTGTACTGGATTTTTCTCCTTTTACTGTACAATTTTGTATGACCAGTTTCTCCTTGTATACTGCAGTCTTTGTCACTGTTACCTCCACCACACTCAGAGTGTAAGGCCTCAGTATTCTTCAAACAATGTGCTTGTCAGATTGTCTAACGGGGTCAGAGGCCTCCTTACCGGTAACAACATTTTTTGTAACTTTCCAAAACAGATTATCTGAGACCTCCCAAGATAAATTGAGTTGTTTCAACAAATTTCACTTTAGTGGCTGTAGTAAATATGACTCAGTGATTTGTACGGGTTTTGGAAGGCACAGACAAATGATGTTGTCCTGCTGATGTGGGCATCAGGACAGAAAACGCTAATCAGGGAGAGAGGGGAGAGAGGGGAAAGAGGGGAGAGAGATCAGGGAGGCATTGTGATGCAGCCAGGAGGAGGCTATAGGAGGAGGCTATGACAGCAGGCTCCAAGTGTGGTCATTTGTAATAGGTATAAGCAATTTTCTAGGTATAAGCACGTTGGAGGACCTAGCTTGTTTGACGTATACTCAAGTCTTCAGGCTACCACATGTCACTGCTGATATACTGTTTCTCCAGCCATGCCTTTTTTCAGTTCCCTTTTCACTTGTCATGTGGTTGGTTTGCTAACCCAGTTTGGGAGTAGATTAGAACCAGGTTGGCCCATTCAGATTGACTCCCAAGGTACGTTCAACCTTTGTCACCGCGTTGGTCTAAAAGGGATATTAGAAGGGTTATCTGTCTTAATTTCAATTCACAACCATTTTGCGAACTGTGCTGTAGTGCATAAATGGGTTAGCATGTCAGAAGAGAGTATTGTATTGGCTGATTGGCCTTCCTGAATGTAACCTCACTGTAGAGGGCTGGGTTGAACAAATTCACACAAACACTCAAAGAGCCTGAAAGGAAATGAGTGTCTGTACTGTACAGGATGCTGTACCTCTCGCCCACCCACTGTCTTTGGCTTGGCAGATTAAGTTATATAAAATACTGTATATATTCATCCATACAGGCACATATAGGGGGCAGGCTAATCTGTATTATAAGATTTATTGTTCCTGGTTCTCTTAGGGAGAAACATAAAGTAGTTATAATCCAACTGTAAGATTTCAGCCTACCTATCAAATACCCTACCACTGTTGTTTAGGAAAAACATTGTCACCCATACCATGCTATTAAGTAAGTTTGTTTCAACAATTTAATACATCAGATAAGTGGATTTTATGAATGAGTGAGTGATTACTGTATTTTTCCCATTGCCACCATACTTGCTTTTATGTGATATCAAAGGAAGCCCAGAAGCCCATGATCGTTGCTCATTCTTCATACTGAATATTCCCGTCGTCATTTTCAGTAAGCAGTGCCATTTTCTTGCATGTAAATGTGTGTTCCCACACACAGTAATCTGTCTAAATGTGAATGCCCCATACAGAGGATGTGTGACCCTCTCAGCACAAAGGGTCTTTCTGCAGAGTTCATGTTCCACTCCCTTCCACCTACTCCAACCGGCACTGCCAGTAAGTCACAAGATAAAGACGTTTACGCTGAACTTAGAGAAGAATGTGTCACTTGTCACACTTTTTTGCTTGTTTTGGTTTGATCTTGTGACATGATTTTTTATGAGTCTCATTTGAATAAAGTGACGGCTACTCCTACAAAGTGATTAACACAAAATTGTAATATGTATGTCAAACTCAGCTAAACATTTTATTATTCAGTACAGGAGTTTCCTTTGAATGATGTGATTTTATCCCATTAAAACTGGG